AAAGTTAGGTTTAGAAAGCGGTACCTCCGCGGTTGAGACTGTCAGGTACACGCGCACAAGGGCTTGGGTTCACCCCCAGGGGTGTGTGTGTGTGTGTGTGTGTGTGTGCATCAGAAGCCAAACTGCCTGGATTTGCAAGCCAGCTTTATCACTCATGAGCTGTGTAAACGGAAGTAGCCAGCTCAATCTTTCTGCACCCCAGTTTTCTCTGTAAAGAGAGGATAATAACTTGTACCACCCAGCAAGGTCATGTGTGGAGTAGAAGACAGCGTATCTCAAGTGTGCAGAGCAGGGCTGGGCACTTCAGTATTATGTAAGTGAGAGCTATTGTCATTAATCTGTGTCATCCGTCTCTCTGCTCGCTTGCGCTTTCTGAACTCCCACTAAGCCTCATTATCTTATTTCCTGTCTATGAGTGTGGGTGACTCAGTGTCATTTGCAGAGTACGTCAAAAAGTTTTGTTTTTAAAAATTTCTATTACAGACATTTTCATGATGGGCGCAGTAAAGAGGATAATGAACCTCCGTAACAAGCTTCAACAATCAGCACCATTTGGCCAATCTCATCTACACCCCCTCTTTCCTCTCTTTACAGGAATAGTTTAATGTCAGCCCCAGATGGTATACCATTTTTGTCTGAAAATACTCCAGTATGTTTCTCTAACAAATAAGGACTCATCCCCCCTTGATACCAGTGTTGCCCTTCAAAATTAACAACAATTATGGAGGGCTTTAAAAACCCCATTCCCTTGCGAGAAGCAGGGAGAGTGGGAACCCTGGATCCATGGCAGATGTGAAGTGAGGAGGCGCCCACAGTGTATATATATATAAAGTGCTTTGAACAGGGCCAAGTGGGACAGTGGACAAGTGGGACCCAGCGGATGGTAAGAATGAGTTTGTTTCTCCTGCACTCTCTCCATTTGCCCACTCTAAGCACCCCCAACCCCTTTCTCCTTCCCAGGCTCTGAGCGTGGATGGCCATTTGAAAAGAAGCCATGGAGCCAGCTGGCAAGTTTCTTGGCTAACTGAAGCCCTAGCTTGGAATCTGGGACCCTCAGGAGGGCACAAGACGGACCCAAAGGAAGCAGTGCAGCTGTGGCTACAGCTCAGGGGGACAGAAAGTGCAAGGCCCTGGGTTCAACCCCCAGCACCTCCAAAGCAAACAAAAGCCAGACACAGCAACCTAGGAGGTTTGGGGAAGAGCCACGGGTGGACAAGTTGAGGAACCGTGAAGCCGTGCGCTTCTGGGCTGAGAAAGCACAGTAGCCAAAAGATGGCAAATGGAGCTAGTTCTTCATCCCCACCCAGGAGGGCCACCTGGGGTTACTGCCAACCCAGAAGCAAAGCCAGGCCCTCATGTATGCTAGGCAAGGGCCCTACCACTGAATGATGCCCAGCCCTGTTTTTTTTTTTTTTTCTTCCAGAATTGGGGATTGAACTCAGGTCCTTGTGCTTGCCAGGGAAGCACTTATTCTACTGAGCCATCTCCCCGCCCCCCCTTCTAAAGGGTGTTTGGTTGTTACAGGGTCTCACTACACAGCTCAGACTCATGGTGATCCTCCTGTTTTCAGCCTCCTCAGCACTGGGATTACAGCGCTGGGATTACAGGCTGGGATTACAGCCTCCTCAGCACTGGGATTATGGGTATTGAACCCTGGTCCCTGTGCTTGCTTAAGCTTGTCTAAGCAGGTGCTTTAGTCTGCTGAGCTATCTTGCTGGTCCCATAGCCCTGGTTTTTTTATGATGGAGTCTGAGTGGTCTTACTGTGTTGCTTGAATTTGTGATCCTCCTGCCTCGGCCTCTAGAGAGCTGAGATTATAAGTGTACACATGGACCTGGCCTTGGAACTTTTCTTTACAGCTCATGAAGGGGTAGCTGCCTACAACAGCTGGGGCGTGGCTTTGCTTCATTGAGTTCTCCAGGGTTATGGGTGGTGGTGGATCTGGAACCAACATACAACTGGAATGGCCCTCTCAGGACTCAGGAAAAGAAACACTTTTTTTTTTGTGGAACCAGGGATTGAACTCAGGCCCTTGAGCTTGCCAGGCAAACACTTATTCTACTGAGCCATCTCCCCGGCCCCAACACTTTTCCATAGAGTTCTCCTCTCTCTCCTCCCAAACTCCTCCTTTGGGTACTGGAGATACCTGTGCTTCCCCCACCCTATTTTAGTCCTTTTGTGCTGCTATACAAAATGCCACAGTCTGGCTACTTCCTAAGCAAGAGAAATTTCTTACAGTGGAGAGTAGAACTCCAAGATCAGGGGGCTAGTAGAACTGGCGTCTGGGGAGGGCAGCCTAGCTGGCGACACCCCTCAGAGGGTGAAGGATGCTGCGTCCTTAGGTGGCAGAAGAGTAGAAGGTAGGGCCTAAGCTGCTTGCCTGAAGACTTTCCCTAAGTCATACAGAGTGGAGCCCTCAAATTTTTACCATTCTCCAGAAGGCCCCACCTCCTAATACTGCCACCTGGCGGGTGTATTACAATTTCACACTCTTGGCTTCAGAAGATGTGATTCAGACACTTGGGCAAGGCAAGCAAGTCCTTTCACCCCCGGCTTCTGCTACTTCATGTTCCTCATACCTCATGCCTCTCTTCTATTCAGCAGTAAGCAGTGTGACCCAGTGAAAGAGCACAGATTTGTGCCCAGAGTGACTTGGTATTGAATTGTGGCTCAGCACTTCTCAGTTGAGGAACCCTAGGCAAAGACACTTTATCTTGCTGAGCCTCAGTTTCCATGTCAGAAAATTGGGAATAAGAGTAGCACATGAAAGGGCTCTTCACACCATAGCCATACAAACCAGGACAGTAGCACATATTCTCTAAGACTCCCTGCAACCTCTTCTTTAGCAGCACTGGGGCTGAACCCAGTACCTTTGTAGTGAGTTACATCCCGAGCCTTTAAAATTTTTTACTGTTTTACTTTTTATGGACAAGGTCTTGCTCAGTAGCTAAACTGCCCAGGTTGAGAATCTTGTGATCTTCCTGCCTCAGCCTCCCAGAGTGCTGGGACTATAGGTGTGTGCCACCAGGCCCAGTCTCCAGCCCTTTTCTACTTTTTTTTTTTGGTAAACCGGGGATTGAACTCATGCCCTTGTGCTTGCCGGGCAAGGGCTTATTCTACTGAGCTATCTCCACGACCCCTCCTTTTCTACTTTTGAGACAGGGTCTCACTATGTAGTGCAGGCTAGCCCTGAATTCACTGGGTAGCCCAGGCTGGCCTTAAACTCTTGGTGACCCTTCCGCGTCAGCCCCAAGAGCTGTGATTACAGGAGAATATTCAAATATTGCATACTAAATTAGAGCCTTGAAGAAGCAGAAGGTTCATGTTCTTTCTAGGAACAAGAATTATTGTTGGGGGCTCAGAACTTCCTATTCAGCATTACTCAAGTAAACCACTTGGAGTCACTCATATGCCCCTAAGACCTAAATTTAGGGAAAAATAACTGAAGTTTACATGTTGAAATAATATGTATCAGGCCTGGGAGATAGCTCAGCGGCATAAGTGCCTGCCCGGCAAGACCACGATCCTGAGTTCATTCCCCGACACTTAAACAAAAAAAAAAGTGTTATTTTACAATTGTAAAACATTTTGACTGCTCACCTCTACCTCATCATATGTCCCACTATGCCATCTGGTGAATGCTTAGTCATTTTTTAACACAAAATTTTTACACCTCGGGTGAGTTCTCTTTCTGTGCCTGGCTTTTTTTGTGTTTTTCTGTACTGGGGATCGAACCCGGGGCCTGCATACTGAGCAGAATCTCCCACTCCCCTCCCCGATTTTGGTTTTGTTTTTTGAGATAAGGTGTTGCTATGTAGTTCCGACTGGCCTGGAACTCACTACTTTGCCCAGGCTTTTGAACCGGCAGCAATTCCTCCCACCTCAGACTCCAGAGTGCTGGGATTACAGACATGCTCCACCATACTTTTTTTTTTTTTTTTTTGTGAGACAGGGTCTGGCTATGTAGTTTATGTCGGTCTTGAACTCACTATGTAGCCCAGGTTAGCCTCAAACTCCAGGGGAGCCTCCTGTCTCGGCATCCAGAGCGCGCTGGGATTACAGACGTGGGCCCCCACGCCCTGCCTCCCATCTCTTTTTAAGTTTGAGGTAAGGTCTCTTAAACAGCTAAAGTCCCCAGGCTTAGAATTACTGATTTTCCTGCGTGAGCCTCTCAGTGTGCTGAGATCACAGGCTTGTGTCCCCATGGCGGGGTGGCTTTATTCTTGCAAACCCTTAAATGGCTGGGACTCGACCAAGGAGTCTAAACTCAAAATTGTGTAGGGAGAGCAAGGGGGAAGTCTCCAGGGGCAACGGCAATGACTTACAACGCATCACAAAGTCTCTGAATCACAGGACAGCACCGGCATGCACAGCGCACTGTCACACTCATCAATTCGCCTCAGCTTTGCGTATTAAAATGCAAAAGAAAAAAAAAAGGAAAAAAAATGCAAAAGAAGCAGGCGAGACAGCTCAGCGGTCTAAGCGACTACCTGGCAAGAGCAGAGACCCAGGCTCGAGGTCCTGCCCCGCATACAGCGCCGGGCCCGCCCCCGAGTGGGCTAAGGCGACCCCCGAGTCCGGGCATGGTGGCGCACGCCTGTAATCCCAGTGGGGAGAGGCTGAAAATACGGAGCTCACTACGAGTCCGAGATGCTTAGCGAGACCCTGTACAAATACATTTAAAAAAATTTTTTTTAATTTTTAAAAAATTTAAATGCAAAAGACGCAGGATGACGTATGACGTAGACGCAATGCACTCCGCCTTGCCGGCTGGTGTCCGATTGCTTCTCGGCGCCAGAGCGCGTAGGCGCAGGCGCACGACCGTCATGGGCGGGGCTCAAGCGGGTTGGTTTTGAGTGCTACGGGGCTGCGGATTGGCTATTTTTGAGGCTGACGGTTGGCTCCGACTTTGCGCATGCGTTTGGTCCTGCGCGGGCCTGGAGCGAGCGAAATTCAAGCTCTTGCTGAGATATCTGCAATCGAAACCGAGGGCCATGGATCTTCACCGAGGTTTGGCAGAAGCTGTGACCTTGAGCTCAGCGCAGGCTGACCTTTATACGAGGTATGCCTCGGCCGCCCGGCGGGTCT